CAAATGTATAAGGAAAACCCAAACATCTTTTGTTTTACGCGCATTGCGAAAATAAATTTAAATTGATTTGATCTAAACGTCTTTAAACAATTTCAAATTTAAATTTTCGAATGCACTGAAATTAAGATAAATTATATCAATTTTATATGAGAAAAATTTATATTTGCAAATAAAAAGCTTCAAGTTTTTTTTAAATTTAATAACCGCTTGTGACAAAACTGATAATGTATTTACCCCTTTTTAAAGGTAAAAATTAAAAATATAATTAATAATGAAACATACCAAATTTTAACATTATATTATTAACAGTCAAACAGTTTTTACTTATTTCTCTTTCAAAAAAATAAAATTGTATCAAATTTAAATCTAATACAAAACTTTATTAAAAACTTAACTTTAAGAATAAATTGGTGAATATGATGGTGATCTTTAGGCCAATTAGTGCAGCGAAACTTTTCCAAAGCCAAATAGCATTCGCTAATGCACTAATCCCTCATCCAAATATTAACAATCAATATGAAGTTGCAATTGGTTAATTTTGATAGCTACGCCCGGAGAACCAAATGATGTGACAGATGATGTTATAGTTTTTATGTGAAAGTAATAAATAACCATACCATTTCTTTACACAGAACTGTTCTTAGAATTATTTCTTTTTAAAAAGAAGATGTAAAAAATTGTGTGGTAAAAGGATTTTCGTCTTAATCATTTTAATTCAGTTCAGGGACATGTAGAAAAGTGTGACTGCGTATCCTGTGGTTTTAAAAAAAATATATATATTTTTTTTATAAATTAAAAACTGTGGGGCGGGAGGATTCGATACTCTCCTTTATTCACAACCAGCACAAGATACGACTCAGAATAAAGGAATGAATTTGATATTTAACCTTCTTAGGTTCATATATATCGGGGGATAGGAAATAGGGCTGTACCTTTTTACGTGGATGACAATATCTTTAAATTCCCATGATAGTGCAGTCGTGAAAAACAGGTGTTACTCTCTGTTTTAACCAATCAATATATGTTTACAAGTATCAATAGCATTGACAAAACGTGGGTACATTTACAAAAGTATAATCATGAATATGAAAAGCTAAATATTTTCACACACGGTAAAATTTGATTTTATAAATAGAGCGATTTAAAAAAAAAAAATTACAGTACATGTGCATGAAGAAAGATGAGTTCAGATTTTCTTTCAAAAGTGAAAAATATATATTTCTGTTTATACTGTGCGAAAGGTGAAGTGTGTGTATGTTTTGATCGGAGGCTGTTAGAGAGACATTAAAATTGGTTAAGAGATTCTTCTTTTGATAAAAGAATTCTTCGTTTTCCGATTTTCCGATAATATAATAGAAAAACAAGTCTAAAGTTCGGTTACACTTTTAATGAAGATATCAATATATCGAATTCCGTTAATATAAAATGTATTTAAAACGGTACATAGAGTTTTGTTTTTAAGTTTGATAACTATTAGAGAAAAGAATAGAGAAAAGAGTTCAGGTGCACAAAATCGGGGAGGGTGCACATAACATTTATTATTTTAAAAACACAAGACACCTAAACAGTGAACTCCTTTACTGACTATAATGGCTTACTTAGTGATCATTTCAATTTGGTAATTTAAGGTCATGATTAGAAGGAAATAAATGTAGTTTAGGGGATCGAAAATTGGTAGGGTAGGCTTATAATATAATATAGCATTAAAATACTCCAGTACAACGCTTAATGGTGTTATAAACGTAAACATCATTACATAGATTTTTAGTTAAGTGCCTACCATGATATGATTGTTAGCAGTTGAGAATTACAGTTAGAAAGTGTCTCAAAATCCTTAACATTATTATCCGATTACATCGGTTCTTATATTCTAGTACATAAGAATGAGCTATGTCATAATATGTAACGATAAAAAAACGAATTCATTTAAATATGTTCGTATTCTTAAAAAAAAATCTAGTGATTTGCTATTATTTTACATAATCCTATAAATGTACATCTGCTACAATTAAAATAAATCTGCTTTTACTTTAGTATATGTTTAAGTATTGTTATTATTAATTACAAATACATTAAAAATAACAATGAAATAACTATTTTAAGCATTTAAACCTAATTTGACAGTTATAAATTATAAATTACAAATACATTAAAAAATAAAATATACAGAACTATTTTTAAGAACTCTCTCCAAATTCTAAAGTTTGGAGTTCATTTTACAATCAACACAATAAAATCTAAAAATTATTTTTATCAAAACATAATCACATTTATCGGTAAAAATCCACTATCCATTGTTTTAGTGCCTTTCTAATAACATTAAAATTAATTTGATCTAAATGACTCCAAACACTATTGCATCAAAATTTTCGACTTAGCTCAAATAAAGAAAAATTAGAAGAATTTCATAAGAATAAAATCTAAACTTGTAAATAAAAAGCTTGAAATTTTTTTATTTTTTTTTTATGTAATAAGCACATGTGACAAAATTGATAAAGTATTTTCCCCTTTTTAAAAGTAAAATTAATAAATGTAATTGATTGCCTTTTAAATTGTTAATGAGACACTCCAAAATTTTAGCTTTGCATTTTTAACATTAAAATTTTTTAACTTATTTTTCATTCCAAAAGTTCACTTAACGTTTGAAAATAGCTTAAGAAAAAGCAGTTGAAGTCAATCAGTTCAGCGAAACTGCACAGTCAAATAATATTCGCTAAATCAAATATAAATCATCCAAACCATAAGAAGTTACAATTATGTTAAAGAACTGAACTTTGGTATAGTTTGAAAAGTTAAAACAAGTTACCATATTCTTTCACGGATCTTATATATAAATATTTATTCGTATATATATATATATTATATATATATATACAATAAGAAAACATAAATGTGTGGTGAAAGGAATTTGGGAATTAAGAATTTTAATTAAGTTTTGGGACGTGCAAAAAGTGTATGGTTGCGTACATCTTTTTAAAATAATTAAAAACTGTGATGGGAGGGGGGCTTGACACTTTCATTTTGCCCCAGGCAGCACATGAACTTTTAATCTTAAAAATAAAGCAATATTTGTGTGTCCCTTTTCAGTTCATGGGCATTAACAAGAAGGGTTAAGATTAGCTTGTAAAATATGAAAACATACTTTTATTCAACTTTGCGAAAAGTATAGTTAATGGAAAAGTAGGGGTACCTTTTTATTAGATTAATAATATTTCTTTTTTTTTTTTTTAAAAAGAAGAAGAAAATAAATACATAAATAAAAAATATTTATTTTAAAAACAAACCACACACAAGCTGTTTTAGACATAAAAAAGGGGTGAGAGATTATTTTTTAAATAAAAAAATTTTGTTTTACCTTTTTATTAGATTAATAATATTTCTTTTTTTTTTTTTTTTTTAAAAAGAAGAAGAAAATAAATACATAAATAAAAAATATTTATTTTAAAAACAAACCACACACAAGCTGTTTTAGACATAAAAATGGGTTGAGAGATTATTGTTTAGATAAAAGAATTTTGTTTTTAACGATTTTCAGATAAAGTTTGGTTTAATGTTTAATGAAGATACCAATATATCAATTTCCATTAATGTTAAAGACATGTAAAATGGTATATAGATTTTTGTTGTAAATTTAAGGTCAAGTTTTTACAATATTTAATGAAATGAAATGTATTTCAGAGGTGCGAACAGGGGTAAAAAAATAAATATTTCTCAAAACTAAATGATGTTAGAAAAGTAAACATTATTACATTCCATATTGTTCAAAAAAAATAAAATAAGGACTTTGGATTAATTATTTCCTTAATATACATCTATTTCAAGGACATGAAATATTATCGTTATTTTTTTTATAAGTGTACAAAATATCAAAACCTGTTTTAATTATATACGTAACAATTGGATTGTTAGGTATTGAGAATAGCAGAATAAAATATTGCAAAAGTCCTACCACTTTCATCCCGGTAATATCGGATCATATATTCTAGTTATAAATATATCTTCAACTTTGAGAGTTTTTTTTTTTAAAAAGAGGATCAAGAACAATTAATGCAATAAGCAATTTAGGGAAGATTATACAATTTTCCCCCCGAAAGATTTTTGGAAATGCAATAAATAAAGTTAATATATTGTGTATAATTGGAGGCTATATTTTCAGATTTATGTAGGTGCTTATAAAATTGTGTTGACTGGTTGTAATAAAGCCAGAAGCATAAATCAATGATCTCATCTTAGCGGTTGTCAGTTGTCAAGACATCAATGGTATAAGAAATATATATTTAAATACGATATGTTGAAATATAAGCATTTTAAAATATTACTTTTAAAAGCTACAAAATGTTTGACACAGAATCGTGCGTAAATTATGTAAAGTGATTTGATTAAAATGACAACGACAAAAAAAATCAATGTGACATCTTATCCTCAAAATTAAACGAATAAATAAATGTATATATTAAAAAATTCCCCCCTCTAAATCGGAAGATTCAGGATATGACACTTTTGATAAGAGGGGCGTTAACATAGACATATAAAGACACGAAACTGCAGCTTGAAAAGCGTTCAGAGGACATGTACTGGTGTCATTTATATAAGATGCGCAATTTGAGGAAATAAGCTGTCACTAAATGAAGGAAATAACCCGTGGCTACAGTTACTAGAAAAAGTGAGACATTTCTACAGATTCCATAAAGTATTTAAAATTAAAGTCAACAAATGTGCAATAAATATCTTTTACAATGAAGTTCAAACCTATTTTGGGCTGTGTAAACATGAAAAGATATTGATGAACAAATTTCCAAGAGTCATTGATATGGAGACACAATCGTTATATAACATGAACTATTTGCTATCTGCGGAAGAAATTATGGAGAAGTACAATTTTCCTTAAAATATGAAAAAAGTTACATGATCTGACCCGATGTTTGGTTGACAGCAACCTTGTTAGATTCTTCAACAGGGTTCAAGGCTAAGACGTCATCCATCTGTCTGGCAATACTGTTCACGGTTGCATCCCCGCTCAGTAAAGCAATGGGAGGGAGCATGCATCCTGCTTGTTCACGTATGTTGTTGAGCATCGTCATGGTCACGATGGAGTCCAGTCCGAGCTCGCTGAGGTTTGCATCTCTGTGAAGACCTCCGGGGGAGATGTTGAGGAGCTCCGCGGACAGGTCAGTCAAGTACCCGATGTAAACTTCCAATCGCTGCTCACGCGGTGAGTCACGCACTGTTCGCATCTTCAGCAAGGTGTCTTCAGGTATTATAATCTTCTCGGTACTTGAACCATTAAACCAGTTCTCCAAACGATACTGCAGAGCGATTGGGGTGTCCTGTGATCTTCGAGTCAAGATGATTTGCTTGTCAAATTTACATGGCATGATCTGAGCCCAGTTAAGCATGATCACTGGCAGAAATGTTTTGACCACTTCGTCTTCGGACATGACAAGTAATCCTTTAGCCTCCAATTTCATTTGGGCTTCTTGTTTACCTTTCAGGAGTCCCGAATCAAAGGCCCCCCAGTTGATGCTCTGACCTGCGAGGTTTTTAGCCCTTCTGTAAAAAGCTAGGCCGTCCATGAATGCGTTGCCTGCGCCATAATTTGACTGTCCGAAATTGCCTATTATGGAGGTGACAGATGAATACAGGACAAAGTAGTCGAGATCCATGTCTTTTGTTAACAGGTGGATATTCCAAGCTCCCTTGACCTTCGGAGACAGAACGCTTTTAAATTGGTCTGAACTCATCGCTAGCAGCATTTTGTCCTCGAGAACTGCTGCACCGAAGAAAACGCCCCTGAGTGAACAGCCCTCGAATTTAGACTTCATGGAGTTAAAGCTGGTCAACAGAGTCTCCATCTTTGTAACGTCCCCACTGAATGCCTCAACGTGGCAGTTCTGACGGTCACTTAGTTCTTGTATCTTTTTTCTGTCGTCTTCAGACGGTGATCTTCTATTTAACAAAGCAATGTTTCCAGCACCATTTTCTGAGAGGTAATTCACGGTCATCCAACCCAGACCGGTCAACCCACCCACCACCAAATAAAGGCTGTCCTTACGAAAGAGTTCTGACTGTGTTGCTCTGACCTTCTTTGGAAGTGACCTATGCACTTGGACCTCTAAAAGGTCATTGAGATCTGATGTTATTTCTTTAAATTCAGAGTACACTGAAGGTGCATTGTGTAAGCAAGTTAGAATAAAATTTGTTGTTAATCTATTTTCTTTTATCTTAGTAACTGTCGTCATAACGTTGTTAGGACTAAAGAGCTCTGTCGTGTCAACCAAGTGAAATTCTACAGAAGGAATCCATAGAGAAGCGAGGTTTTTGCTCTGTTTTTGAAACAAAACCTCTAGCGTAATAATTTCTTTTGGTTGATGTTCCCCAGTCTTCCATTTGTAAATCATAGAATCCTCAATTAAAAGTAGAGAGATAATGCAATCGTTTAGAGGAACTTCTTCAGGATCATCCATAAAGTCAATGTTGCACATCTTTGGTTCTTCACCTGAACTAAGAAGAGTGCAAAGAGCATATGCCATATTTTGTGTTGCAGCAGAGGCTATAATAGTAGCAGAAGATTTCGTGACCTTTTGGTAAATGGACCAGAGGACAATGAGTTTTGTTAAGTCACCTAGTCTATAATCAGGTATACACGCGAAATCAATGGTTGTAGCGATTGGGACCCAGAGTTTGGAGGCCAATGGACATGGATAGCACGACACCACCTTTTGAAGATGGGATCCATCTTTCAAAGTACCAACAGTTTCCAAGGCATATACCAGGTATCCGTCATCTGTGAAGGACTTTCTATTTTCAATATCACCGCAGAGAGAGACAATGCTGAACAGTTCCGGGTTTTGAATGGCAGTCTTTAGCGGTATGAGCTCTCTGAATTGTATATTTGCGTTTAAAAGTTCTTCATCTTTGTACACGCAGAAACTGTTCCGGAGAACTGTCGGCTCACTGCTTACTACGACGGCGTCGGTAAACGCATCAACATGGTTCAACCTAAAGATAGGTGTATCGCCCTCAGAATCAACAGGGACAATCTGGTTGACTAACAGTTCCTCATCCGTGACTCTCCACTCGTGGTAGTCTCGAAGCTTTGGATCCTTGTTGATGAGCTCGGCAACCGATGCCAAAAAGGGAAGGCGAATCTTGTCTTCGCTAAGCTGTAAATCAAGGGCAATCACGTCGATGTTATTCTGTTCCCGGATGGCACACCTGAGGAGCCCCCACAAAGCTGTCATCAATGGGTTCACTTGCTCCGCCGTTGGAGACTCACTTTCTTTAGGAAAGGTATTTCGGGTGAACAAGTAAATCGGTTTGTCAAGTTTCTGTTCGTAGGCATTCAAGTACAACCTTTGAAGTAGCATGCAAAGGTTGTGTACCTTAGTCAGTACGCTCTCGCCGTCTTCAGACTCACTGATTGTTGTTTTCGTTATGAGTAGGATTATAAAATCACAACGTTGAACGCTGTTCTTGAAATCCTCATTGAAAATGTCCCAAGGGCGTGTCATGCTGTCAAAGCAAAAACAACGGTTCTGCAAATATATTGGCTCAGAGGTTGGGAGATGGTCCACGATCAGTAACGCTTTAGGGTCTTTTGTGATGTCCTGTAAAGGATAAACAGTTACTTTTTTTTCCCATACACATTTGTACAAATTTTCATGCACTTCACCCCTACTGGTTAGCGTCACGTGTGCAAGATTCTCTATGTGGGCAATCATCTGTCCACCCGGAGTTAGAAGTTTGATGTCGTAGTACGTCAGTCTACCATCGCTGCCTTTCTTGTTGCACAGTATGATCATGTTGGTCTCAATGGGTCTGTATGTCGTGAGTTTTCCAATAGATCGTGGCAGAAGATCACGAGCCTCGGCCGATTCATCCATAAGGATGACGGAGGACTGTATCATTCCATCAATAATGGAGGGATGGAGTGTGGTTCCGGGCAGCTCGTCAGCCAATGAGTTCGGAACTGTTATCTCGACATAGCATTGATTTTGTCCCCTTCGTGCACGTTCCAAGAGTGAATATTTTGGACCATAAGAAAATCCAAACTTTTTTAGCCTATTGTATATTTCGTCTTTCTCCAAAACTTCTGGGCATGATAGTATAATGGGGTAGAGGTTCAGAGTTGTGGGCTCTATTTTTCTACTAATTCCTTGAACTGCTATGACAACGAATGTTTTGCCATCATTTTTAACTAGCGCTCTGTAGAAATCAGCATCATCACCATTGTCCGGGGATTTAGTCATGTCTATTGAAAACTCAACACAACGATCTCGCGGGAGAGCGAATGGTTGTTCAAACAAGACGGACACTGTATACATAGCTGCCTTCATCGTGCTCATCACTTTTGTTAGGCCAAAACCAAGCTCAGCATAAAATGCCCCGGGCAAGATCAACTTGTTTGAGACGCTATGGTCGTAGACTGACGGAAAGGTCATCTGGGAGAAAATCACTTTTGCTTCAAAATTGTTGATCTTGAAAACATAAGGATGACATGTTCTGAGGTTGTCGACACCACTCAGTGTAATGTGACCAACCTCAGTCTTGACGAATCCTTCTCTGGCCATAAAATGATATCTTGGAACAGGAGCTAGTGTATTCCCACATTGTGGGAGTGTTTTCCACTGAATCTCATGACCCATCATGTAAGTCTTTGTTAAACCTTCTAAAAACTGCTTCCATTCCCCATTATTTGTCATGGAGACCGCCATCTGCACATTACCGTCTGGAAAGATGTCCATTGAATGAGCAGACATAATTGGTTTAGGACCAATCTCTATAAACAGGTTAGGGTACTTTTCTGTGTATGTTCTCTTGACAGCTTCGTAGAATCTGACTGGCTGCCTCAAGTTATCTATCCAGTAATTCACGTCCAATGGCTTGTCAACGCGCTGTCCAGTCACCGTGGAGACCATTTCATATTCTGATGGTAGACATGGATTAATGTCGGCCAACATCTCTCCAAGTTTCGCTGTGCATTCGTTCATGTGATGACTGTGATAGGCCGCAGGGACGTTCAGATCCGTTATACTGATCTCTTGTTTTCTTCCCACTTCTGGCAGTTTATTTTTGATGTCCTCAACGATGTCGCTGTCTGAGCTGACAGCACACGAAACTGGGCTGTACTCTACTGAAACACAGGCTTTGCCCTGGAACTTGCCAACAATCGCCTTCACACGATCTATCGGAACATTCCTGACCACGAACATTTTCCCCCCAGTCACGGTACTAATGAGCAAGGATCTTGTGTAAATAACTTTAACAGCATCTTGGAGAGTCAACAGACCGGCTGTGTAAGCTGCTGCCACTTCGCCCACAGACTGTCCCACGATTTTGTTCGGCTTAACTCCGAGGCTCGTCCAGAGGCTAGCGAGGCCAACCTGACAGGCAAATATCGCAATCGGAATGAAGAGATGATCATCGTAGTCGGAGGGTGTTACTTCTTGAAGACGTTTTACTATGGACCAACTAACGTATTTTCCCAGAAAGTCATCAATCTCACTCAAAGCAGAGCGAAATATCTCACTCTCTTTCATCATTTCCTTACACATTCCTTCCCAGGCAGTAGCCATTCCTCCAAAGACAAAGACTGTTGAAACCTTATGTGAGCGTCTCTCTGTTGTAGGTTTGTCTAATTCTGCTTTCAGATGACTTATCAACTGACCTAAATTTGATGCAACCGTCGCAAAACGTGATGTATAATGGGTTCTGTGAACAGTTGATGTGAGAGCTACATCGTGAAGATCAAGGCAGCCGACATTGTCGTATTCCAAGAAGTCTTTTAAACTTCCCCGGAGCGAAGCTTCATTCTTACCAGAAAAACAAACGATTGCTGGTTTTATTTCAGAACCTTTAAGTTCAGTTTCTTTTTTCTGTGATTTAACAATGGCGTGGCAGTTTGACCCACCAAAACCAAACGAATTGACACAAGCCAGGTGTTGGCCCTTTTTCCAGTCCATGACCTTGGAAGGCAAAGACAAATTTAATTTTTCAAATTCAATTTTCTTGTTGGGGATCTCAGAGAAAAGCGAGGGCACAATCTTAGAATGCTCCATCATCAGAAGAACCTTGATCAGACCGACCACACCAGCAGCAGACTCCAAGTGACCAATGTTGGTTTTAATTGATCCCATCAGTCGTATTTTTTTGGATCCTCTAAGTTTAAAGAATTCTCCGAGAGCTTTGGCTTCTGCTTGGTCTCCCATTTGTGTCCCTGTACCTAAATTGAAATTTCAATATTGGAAAGTGGCCAGTTATCAATGTACCTGGGTATTACATGAAAAGAGCATGAAAAATAAATGTAACAAAAAATTCTTAACACTGAATCCGTCCCAGCTTACCGTGAGCTTCTATGTAGTCCAGTTCCTCAAGCTGTTGATTGGTCATGTGTCTGTACGTGTATTCAAGCAGATTGATCTGCTGCTCTTTGGAAGGGGCCGATATTGGTGTGACTGAATGGCCGTCTTGGTTTGTTTGAGTTTCAATCGTTGCCATAACTTTGTCTCCGTCTCTTTGTGACTATATTATTTTTAGTAAAACAACAACAACAACAAAAAAACAACTAAAAAACATTGAATTAAAATAGGGCTAGTAAAAATGTGTAGACCAAACATATTATTGCTGATCCCAATATTAATTCTTTAAATTTCATCCAAACTTTACTATCCTCTATATCAGTGGTTCTTAAAGTAAGTTGTTTCGCCCCTCCCCCACCAAAGGGGGCCGTGAGACTGCTCAAGAGGGCGGTAAATCTATATGTAATTTTAGAAGAGTAAGGGAAGCTGGTGAATTTTGTAATGGTATTTTTTACAAAAATCATACATAAAAAAAAATTACTATCAAATTTCGGCTTTCAGAAAAGTCCTTAATATATATCACATCTCTCAGTCACTATAAATACTTTCAGACCTACTCGGAAAGACCTTTGACCTTTTCAAGTGCACGAGCGCCGAAATAATAGTAAAACCTGTTTACTTAGCAGGGGGAGACAACTAAAATAAAATGACCAAAGATGAGTCACGGGCAGATTTTTAAAAACATTTTCATTGACACCGAAATAAAATTATTGAAATCTAATGTGTATTACTTCTTGTATATGTCATTTTGCATGAACTTTGTAGCAACGCTTCACTCAGATGTCTAATAAAAAAAAATTAATAAAAGGATACACTATTGAGAGCGCATGGTGCCATTGTGTTTTAATTTGAATTTTTTTTTTTGAGAACTGGTTCAGCTAACAAAAAATTTATCTTGTTCTTCACACCAGAAACTCTAAAGGTAAGCGATTTTAAAAAAAAAAAAAAACTTTAATAAAAAATTTGTATTTTTAAGAAAGTGAGTTTTAAAAATAATTTGAATTTTTTTTTTTGAGAACTGGTTCAGCTAAAAAAAAATGTATCTTGTTCTTAACACAAGAAACTCTAAAGGTAAGCGATTTTAAAAAAAAAAAAAAAACTTTAATAAAAGATTTGTATTTTTAAGACAGTGAGTTTTAAAAAAATTGATAATTGTGTTTAAATTATTTAAGCAGGCGTTCAAAAACGCTGACAACGGAGTTTTTGTTTGGATTTTTTTTAAACAGTTTTGTAAAATTTCGGAGCGTCTGACGTGTGAGTAGCTATAATTTAGGATTTTTTTGCTTCACTCTGCTTTTGGCTGAAACTGAACCACCAACTTGAGATTTGCTCAGTTTAGACCATTCATCCACCCACCATTAAAATTAGATACAGTTATTATTATTATTATTATTATTATTATTATTATTATTATTATTATTATTATTATTATTATTATTATTATTATTATTATTATTATTAAGGTCGTTTTACATAGCGCAGTACCCAAGCATAGGACTTGGCTCACTGCGCTTGACAAAAGCTTAGCAACTGCAGAATATTATGCATTTAAAAAACAACTATTGGTAAAAAGCTCCACCTCACCCACCCAGGTACTATCTACCCCTGTCTAGCAATGGACAGCAGACAGCAGCATCGAGCATTAATTATCAGTTGGAGGCATGAGCACCCCATTTTAGCACTTTATGCTATTTTTTACACTAAATATCATTCAAATGTTGATGAAAGAGACCAAACGGTACGTATACAACTTTCTCAGTAACACTTGGTCATAAATGGGAGCCTAGTAAAGTGTTTCTGTAGCAACTGAAAATAGCCGAGGCAGGAAAAGGAATAGAACCATATGCCAGAGATGTATGAAGGGCAACCATGACCAGAGGTGTCTGGTGGGATTCCATGGGCCTATTTTCCCAAAAACAAAAGTTAGGACTTATTCAGGCTTCATCCATAAAAAAATGCACACATTTGATACAAGTAAGTCATGTTTATTCTACGTTTAACAAATAATAACACGCATATATTATGCATCTCAGGATAGCTGATTGGCATAAATGTTGAGATTTCAGCTTGATTTATAAAGATTCTATTAGTTCATTCAATTTCCTACGAGAATATATATATAGATTTATATACATATAAAGGAAATAGTTTTTTTTTTAATATATTGTTTTGCAATGCGAATGGACGACCTCGAAAAAGTGCTCCGTTTTTTTGGCGCGTACACCCCCGTCAAGCTCACTGAATCAGAGGTGTCGCGTGTACTGTAGGGTGACCAAACGTCAAGTAAACACGGCATTGTACCACGTTTTCACGGTCGTACCCGTTGTCCCGAAAAAGTCTCTCGGGACGCCTAAATGTCCCGTTTTTTAAACCAAACACATTTTCAAATCACTAAAATTTCCTAATTTATCATATAACTTCAAGAAATATTTTGGCTAGCTGTGTAGCCAGTGCCAGTAGTGATGTTGGCTCGCGTGATGGCTGCACTGTTCCCCCTCCACTACAGTGTCCCTGCCATCGAGAGAGAAAAGAGGGGGGATGATGTAACTTCGCAGAAACTAATTTTGATTCACCGACCGCTACGTGTAATCAGGGCTACCACACCTTGGGAAATTTCCCAAGACCTTGGGAATTCACGACCCCCCTTGGGATCTGGGGAATAATTTTGAAAATCAGGAAAAAGCTTGGGAAATCTTAACTGGGGTGAAAATGTTATTTTATTTTTCGAAAAAACGCATAACAAAATATACGTGATCAAAAAATAAAGTGGAAATAAAGCAAACTAATTTTTAAAGTAACAAGGGAAAAATTGATTTTTAAAATTTTCTTTTCTGGTTTAAATTTTTAAAACCATTTATAAATAAATAAGAACTCTTCTGAAATTAAAGTTAATATTGTAAATTAATAACAAGTTAATAATTAAAGAAAAATTAAATTTTCTCTTTTTTTTTAAGATGAAGATTTGCAAATTACATCCAGGTGTTAAATGTTTATTAATCGGGGGTGGGGGGAGGACAGCGGCGGTAGGCTCGGAAACTTTATCATGCGTATAGGACATTAGCAACCATACAAAAAATGCCTAATTTTTATGGAAAAATATTTGTGGATTGACACACAGGTAACTAAGATATTAAAATTATAGGTTGTAGGAAATAAATTTAAAAAATTCCTTTAAACAGTATTTCGTTTGAAAAAAAATCATTATAATGTAAATTTACAAGAAAAAAATTAAAATACTTACTGCTTTCATAATACTATCAATCTATTTTAACTACAATTATTATCAAATGTTGCTTACTTAATAGATTTGCAAACCCAATTACTAACCAACAGACTTACAATAAGAAAACACATTTTTTTATGAAGAACCTTTTGCCTTTGTAAGAGGAATTGTTTGATGATTAGCCTTGTGAGCTTTGTTTCCAAGTGACTTCTATTACACTTCTAGATGATATTTTTACCAGAGAATATGGAGGTAACATTTAGTAGCCTAACTCCAGTGGGTATTGATATTTTGGATAATAAGATAATATAAATTATTTTTTAAAAAAACATATTGTTTATTTCTTTTATGTGATAAACATTTTTTTAATGTACTTTTCAATAAATTTCAGTCAATTATTGTACCATGTATTTCAGGGGCATTAATTCAATCTATTATTACATTAAGAACATAGCCCCCCCCCCCCCCCCCCCCCCCCCCGCACACCTTTTTTTTTAAAACTCCTATATACTTTTATGATCTTGGGAAATCTTGGAAAATTTCATGACCAAATCTTGGGAAATTTTAAAAAAGTGAGTGGCAGCCCTGCGTGTAATGTGTTAGTCTTGTGTGTGTGATCCCTACACGCCTTTTCGTGTCAGAGTGACAGGTGTTTGTTTTGGGTTTTGAACTTTATGCTTTAATTTTATATTATCTTCTCATTAGAACAATAATTATACCCAAGCGTCAATGTAAGTTTATGGCGGAGTATTCTAAAGAGTGGAACTATATTTAAAAAGGAACGCTATGAAAGTGAAGCCGAGTGCACAGTTTGCAATAATGTTTTTAGTATTGGTCATGGTGGACGTTCAGACATAAAGCAACACATCAGTGAAACATGGGAAAAGACTGAGTGCCCCAAGTAGATTTCTAGGTTATATTTCATGGTTAAAAGGAGCAAATTTTCAATAAACAGTTTCCGGTGGAGGTCCCCGGACTCCTCTTTAGCTAGAGAGTATTCCCCCCCCCCCACCCTCCATGAAAGTGTCCTGTTTTTTCCATTTCATTGGTTATATTTCATGGTTAAAAGGAGCAAATTTTCAATAAACAGTTTCCGGTGGAGGTCCCCGGACTCCTCTTTAGCTAGAGAGTATTCCCCCCCCCCCCACCCTCCATGAAAGTGTCCTGTTTTTTCCATTTCATGACTTGGTCAACATGGTGTACTGTGATTTTGACCACAGGGTTAAGTGAACGAGTGTGAACTCTTGTGCATACATTTATTTGGGGGTTATAAAGGGAGAAAACGATTCGATTGAGAGAGACAGACTAATAGTTTGGGGGGTTAGATTTGATGTGGTGTAGAGACCGACCGAAAGTGATTTTCGGATTTCGGCCGAAGCCGAAAATAGGCCGAAAGTTTAAAATGACTTTCGGCCGAAACCGAAAAAATGCCGTAAGTTTAAAAATGACTTTCGGCCGAAACCGAAAAAAGCCGAAAGTTAAAAATGAATTTCGGCCGAAAGCGAACTCGAAACCGAAAATGAAATATTAAGATATTTTGAAAGTCGTTCCCGCATACATTCTGCATACATCGAAAATGAATGGGGAAAGTGTAAATATTTACATTCTTTTTATAAAAAATGAGATAATCGTGAATATTAATAAATAAACATCTACAATAGTGGTCTCAAACTCGCGGCCCGCGAGCCATTTGTGAACCGCAAGACGATATTTTGCGGCCCGTTACATCACAGAAAAATTTAGTGTAAATGCGCCGGCCCGTTTCCCCCATTCTCATATCTATAACGTGACTTTCCGCGACGGTTTCAGTCGAATCTCACCGACTAGTCTAATTATGATTTTTTTTTTTATGTTTCCATATATTTTTGTATGCCAGGTCTCTGGCAACAGTGAGTAGTTCTTGAAAATCCCTTAATGATTTATTGTTATTTATAAAGGTTGAGCAGATTGTAACAGTTGTAATCGCTTTGTTGTGGATTACTTGATGCGGCCCACTCTCATTCAGACACTGCCTCCTGTGCCCCCCCCTCCCAACATGATTTGAGTTTGAGACCCTTGATCTAATGAATACTTTGGATTTTATCATTTTAATATAAAAGTAATTTAAATTGCTTTACAATTTTTTTTAAAAATTAGCATGGTAGAAGAAAATTTGGCAAAAATTGGGGGGGGGGGGAATTAATGCAAAATATTATTTTTTTAAACAGTGTCTCTAAAAAAATGAGGTTCTAAAAGATCGCTTAATTTTTTTTTAAAGATCGTTTAATTGTTTGTTATTTATCGGTTAGTTTCTACTTAAAGATCGGTGAGTTTGTTCATAAAGGTCGTTTAGTTTGTTGTTAAAGATCGTTTAGTTTGTTGTTCAAGATCGCTTAGTTTGTTGTTCAAGATCGTTTAGTTTGTTGTTAAGATCGTTTAGTTTATTGTTAAAGATCGTTTAGTTTGTTGTTAAAGATCGCTTAGTTTGTTGTTAAAGATCGTTAAGTTTGATCTTAAAGATCGCTTAGTTTGTTGTTGAAGATCTTTTAGTTTGCTCATAAATATCGCTTAGTTTGTTGTTCAAGATCGTTTAGTTTGTTGTAAAGATCAATTAGTTTTTTCATAAAGATCCCTTAGTTTGTTCTTAAAGATAATCAATTTTGTTCATTAAGATCTATTAGTTTGTTCTTAAACATCTTTTAGTTTGTTCCTAAAATACATTTAGTTTTCTGTTAAAGAACGCTTAGTTTATTCTTATAAATCATTAAGTTTACTATTAAAGATCATTTGTTTTGTTCTTAAAGATCATTTAGTTCGGTCCTAAAATCGTTAGTTTGTTCTATAAGATCGTTTAGTTTGTTATTAAAAATCGCTTAGATTATTCTTAAAGATCACTTAGTTTGTTGTTAAAGATCACTTAGTTTGTTGTTAAAGATCGTTTAGTTTATTGTTAAAGATCGTTTAGTTTGTCGTTAAAGATCGCTTAGTTTGTTTTTAAAGATCGTTTAGTTTGTTCTTAAAGATCGCTTAGTTTGTTGTTGAAGATCTTTTAGTTTGCTCATAAATATCGCTTAGTTTGTTTTTAAAGATCACCTACTTTTTTGTACAGATCGCTTAGTTTTTTCATAAAGATCCCTTAGTTTGTTCTTAAAGATAATTAATTTTGTTCCTTAAGATCGTTAGTTTGTTTTAAAGATCGTTTAGTGTGTTCTTAAATGTCTCTTAGTTTGTTGTTAAATATCGTTTAGTTTGTTCTCAAAGATCGCTTAATTTGTTCTTAAATGTCACTTAGTTTGTTGTTAAATATCGCTTTCGCTAAGAATTAAATGACCGAAAACCTGAGTCACTTTCGGCCATGTTGGCCGAAAGTCTAAGTCAATTTCGCCCGAAACCGAAGAAAAACCGAAAGATAACTGTTCTCTTTCGGCCGAAACCGAAATTAAGCCGAAAGTTAACTTTTCAGTTTCGGCCAAAACCGAAACTTGGCCAAAAGTGACAAAATGGCCACTTTCGGCGCCGAAACCGAAGCCGAAGCCGAAATTTGGTCGGTCTCTAATGTGGTGTTTTTGCCCTGGTAATATTTTCTCCTGGGTTTAGGTAAGTAGTCATTTCTTGTGTGTGTACTATGTGTATAGTTTAGTCCAGTGTAAAATGAACTATTCAGTGTTGCGATGAAGTGAGAAACCACATCCGAAAAAAAATAGTCTGACATTAGGTCATTCGAATCATTGACAACCCAGAAAAAGGCTGCGTCCCGAAAAGGTCAATGTTTGCTACTATACTCTGAATTTCTTAGGCTATCACAAAGCAAGAGTTTGAATCGTCTTTACAGGTTGATGCTGTGACTTGTAGGGGCATTTTATTTTGAAGACACGAATGTTTCTCTAAGTGCTAATCTCCAAACACATAGAAACTCCATTGATTATTTATCAAATTTTTCAAAATATTTGCACATTCAATGAATGATTTATCATATAAAATCAAATCAATTGTCTATGTATTTTATATTTAACTATATATTCCCCACTGTAAAACTGGCCGTTGTGAGCTATTCCAGTTTGGAAGCCTATCTTTACTAGAGGAGAAAAGCTGGGATAAAAGATAATGATCTTAAATTATATTGTGGTCATTTGAATGTGGCTACATGAAAGCTACGTCTGATATATTTAGATCTACTTTTAACTGACATTCCAGATTGGACGATAAATCCATTTTCGGATACAGAGACAATTGGTGTTGTTGAAAAACAGTTAATTGAGTTAAAAATGATACGGAGCCGAAACCAAAGTTCAAGATCTCGTAGCAAGAGTTTGGGCCACAACCTAAAAAGGGGTGTAAAGGGGTTTAGAAACTCCTTGTTGCCTCTCCAACATCTTATTGCGTGGTTGTTCTACTTTGCAAAAAATGTTTATTAATCGTGACCCCCTAAATGTTGTTTCTTGAATACTGGCCAATGGAAACCCACGAAATATTTGAATGGCTATACACTTCTCGCTAAGTTTAAGGAAGAAACATCGAATTTTGCATAAAAGTTTACATTAATTAAACTATCCATGGCAAATAATTTAATACAGAAAGATTCACGAAAAACGTTACTGTATGACAAAAGGATAATAATATTTTTTTTTATATCTCATTTGAAGTGGACTTGGTTTTTATGTACATTTATAAATATCTTGTGTTAAAAGAGTGCCTGTCATCCGGCAAGCTTAATCTCAGCTCAGTCACTCAAATGTCCTCCAATGTAATTTGTTGATTTATGCAATTAATGGAACGGTGAATATAGGATTTAAAAAAATGTATACCCGGAGTTTTAAATAACTATATAAAGCACTTATTATTTCCTTAAAATGGGTGTCCCAGATGAGGTTTGAAGGGGGCCATACAGGATTTTTTGAAATGACTAGTCGAGATAACGATGATTAGAATATGCAATAGTGTCCTTGACTTATCGCTGGCAAGGGTCAACATGCCATAATGCTATTGTCTGTGCTGTATTAGTAATAAATAAATAAACAACTTACGTCTGATAATCTTTTGAGAATAACGATTCCACAGCCCTCCCCTCTGGTGTATCCATCCGCTTTGTCGGAGAAGGCGTGGCACTGTCCAGTTGGTGAAACCATCTTGGCTTTGCTGAGGTGGACAAAGACGTCAGGGGACAGCATAAAGTTTGTCCCACCGCAGATGGCCAGATCACAGTCACCTAGAGATAAGGAACATTAATTTTTTTTTAAATTCCTGACATTCTCATAAATACTGTGGCTACTGTCACTTTAATTGGGGAGAGAGAAGAGATCTATGGCGCCGAACGAAACTTGGGTTAAGTTTTGGGGGAGAGGTCTCAGTAAGCCCCTCCCCAGAAAATTTAGGATAAATTCAAAATGATGGGATGAATTTTGGCGCATAAATGATTGAAGTTTTGCATCATTCTACACTTCACCGGCGTAGATTGGGTTATCACCACCTCTAACTAACGTCTTAGTTTAACATGATTGTAAACATACATCCTTGCTACATTCTTTTCGATTCCTATCAGGGAGAAGTAAATCTTGTTCATGAGTGTATTCCCCTTTAAGAAGTATCCACATTGTGATTCGCATTTATAATATTAATTCTGGAAGATGCCGGTATTATCGTGGGTTAAAATTGGGAAACTGGCAGTCCCCTGACTTTTAAACCAAGTTAATTTCCACAAATCTTTCAATATTCATTAACAATATGTAAAGCGTGATGCCTCCAAAAGAGTGAGTCTCCTAAAAGCGTGAGGGCCGTAGAAGCTTGAGGCCCTGGGCCAGTGTCCAATGTAACCATGCCGTCAGGCGGCATTGATCGAATAGAAGACATTCGATAGTCAAGGGTATTCAACACATTGACACCACAGCGCAGTTACAGAATCGATGATGTCCAAGAAGACCAGTGGTCAGGTCCAAATGATTGTGTATAAGTTAGTATGATTGTGTCTTCGTTAGTATGATTGTTTCTAAGTAACCATGAGTGTGTCTAACTTAGTATGATTTTGTATAAGTTAGTATGATTGTGTCTAAATTAGTATGATTGTGTCTGTGTTAGCATGATTCTATGTTAAAATGATTTTTTTTCTAAGTTAGCATGATTATCTCAAGTTAGTATAATTGTGTCTAAGTTAGCTTGATTGTGTCTAAGTTAGCAATATTGTGTCTAAAATAGCATGATCGTGTCTAAGTTAGTATGAGTGTGTCTAAGTTAGTATGAGTATGTCTAAGTTAGCATGATTGTGTTTAAGTTAGTATGATTGTGTCTAATTTAGAATGATTTTGTGTAAGTTACCATGATTGTGTCTAAGTTAGTATGATTGTATCTAAGTTAGCATTATTGTGCCTACGTTAGAATGACTGTGTCTGTGTTAGCATGAAAATACCTAGGTTAGAATATTTTTTTCTAAGTTACCATAAATGTCTAAAGTTAGTATGAATGAATCTAATTTAGCATGATTGTGTCTCAGTAAGTATGATTGTGTCTAAATTTGCATGATTGTGTCTAAGTTAGTGTGATTGTGTCTAAGTTAGCATGATTGTGTATAAGTTAGATTCATGTCGAAACGTGTTTACGTTATATTTCCCCCAGTGCTGTGAACTCTAGCAGACGTTGTATTAGTATTGGGTGTGGATTATTCCCTTTATCTTGTTTACCACAAACCAATATATGGTCTGTTTTTCTTGACTCGAATTGCTAGAAAATTGTGGAATGTTTGAGGCACTAATAAAATGCGAAATAAGTCTGGAATTTTCTATGGAATAGACTATTAATACAGGCGAACGGCAAGCAGACTGCAGATCAGATTCGCAGACAGAGTGTGGGGTTATTTTGGAACGTGTGAGGGTTTGTTTACAATAGACTTCTCTTCATTATTTGTACATTTTTGCTCACTGTGTTTTATTTGGACATTATACTGGTACAAGCCACACAATATACTGTAAGTTAATAGTTTTTAATTATATTTCTTTTTGACTTTTGTACTTTATTATTAATTTAATGAAACTTATTAACTGTAATTAGCCCTGTTCCGAGTATCGTATTATTTGTTATTGTTTTCAATTTTTGGTATCGTCTTTTGTTATGTACTGTTTTTGGAACGAGTCATATAGGTAGATATGAGATTAATTTCTCCCTATATACAGCAGTACGTATCAGTTAGTAAGTTTCTGTCTACGTTAGTATGATTGTATATAAGTTAGCATGATCATGTCTACGTTAGTATGGTTTTGCATAACCTAGCATGATTTCGCCTACGTTAAAATGATTATGTCTGTTTTAGCATGATTGTGCATACGCTAGAATGACTTTTCCGAGTTAGCATGATGCTCTGAAGTTAGTATGACTGTTTCTAAATAAGGTAGTTTTGTCTAAGTTAGCATGATAGTGTCCAATGCATTTGATGAAGAGTGAAAACAGCGAGCAGTAATATTATTTTTTAAATACAAAAATATTTCAAAAACTTTTTAATAACGAATGTCTATCAAAGACAAGTTAAAAGGCACTATCAAAGACAGGTTAAAAGGCACTATCAAAGACAGCTTAAAAGGCACTATCAAAGACAGGTTAAAAGGCACTATCAAAGACAGGCTATAAGGCACTATCAAAGACAGGTTATAAGGCACTATCAAAGACAGGTTAAAAGGCACTATCAAAGACAGGTTAAAAGGCACTATCAAAGACAGGTTAAAAGGCACTATCAAAGACAGGTTAAAAGGCACTATCAAAGACAGGTTAAAAGGCACTAAAAAGAAGTCTTGGAACAACGAACAAATCCAAATACCTGTCCTCAGAGCTTGTGAGGCCGTGTGAATCGCTATCAGAGCCGAAGAGCATCCGGTGTCAATGACCATGGTGGGTCCTCGCAGGTCGAAGCAGAAGGCAATTCTGGCAGCGATGATGCTGTTGGAGATACCGGTGACCGTGTAGTTACTCACTCCCGAGGATCTGGCCTGATACAGACTTCTGTAGTCTGAGTTCATCGCTCCTAAAGTCCAAAGATTTTGTTCAAGAGAGAGAAGGTGATTGTACCGTGCTGAGCGATGTAAAATCTAAGCTTTTAAATGACTGTCCCTTATTTACAACATGTTTCTATTGATATTTTTTTTTATTTGTGTGTCATTCCTACTTACTTAATTTCTTTTCGAATGCACACTGGAAATAATGTGTTACGGCATTTTAGTTGCCAAGAAATGTTGTTCTTGTAAATAAGCAATGGCTTCAAACAATAAGAACTTTCTACGTTTCCTATATAACCGCTGAGCTCTCAAAATTCGAACTTATTGAAGCTATAAAATATAATAATAATATAGATTATTTGAAAATCACGCTTCATCCCCCAAGGCTCAAAGCGCGGTACTTACCACCTTGAAGTACAAAATGCAACATTAAAAAAACTACATACGAGAATACCCATTTCAAGTCTTTCATACCTTGCAACCATAAACAACACAGGCCAATATACATCTACAAGATAATAGCTGGATAGACAACATCACCACAGCAGGTGTTTGCGAAATAGATAAGTCTTCAAATCAGGTTTGAAAGACTCCAGTGTCTTGCTGTTTCTAAGAGCAATAGGAAGGGTGTTTAAAATTGTTGGGCCCGCAAATGCGAAAGTGGGGCCCTCGTAAGTCTTAAGGCGAACACTTGGTATCGAGAGTCTGCCACTATCAGATGAGCGGAGTTGTCTAGTGGGTACATAAGGCGTCAGTAGCGCTTTGAGCTAGGACGGCGCCAGGTCATGCAAGCAGCGGTAGCACAGAGTTGCAATTTTGTACTCTATGCGAGCGCAGACCTGCAGCCAATGCAACTCTCTCAGAAGTGTTTTAGCATGTTCGAATTTGCGTTTTCGAAGAACAATGCGAGCCGCATTATTCTGTGCTTTAAAAGGATTTTTACAAAACAGAGCCAGTCAGAAAGTTCTTCTTGATAAGGATCTCGGTCTATATGAACATTTTTTATTATTTTTTTTTTAAAGTCAAGTTGCGGCGTCAACCATTAATAATAACAATAATTTAAATTAAATTTGACTGGACCCCGAGAATTACATTTAGTTTGATCTTGAATATCACTAAGCAACAACAACACGGATATCAACTTGAATGCAGTGATTTTCTTGATTAATATTTCACTTGTTATTTTACACTGGTGAAATATTCTCAGATCACATTTATTTAAACCCCTCACCCATGTAAACGCCAGTGTTGGTGCCCTTCAGTTCGTTCCTGGTCAAACCAGCATGCTCCATGGCTCTGTAGGTGCACTCCAGGGCATGTTTCTGTTGGGGGTCCATCTGGTCAGACTCCATGTCATTAATCTCGAATAAAGAATTGTCAAACGCAAAAGGGCTGCAAAAAATGAAAGTAGTGATACAATTAAACAACCGTTAAAAAACTAACTTTTTCACATAAAACCGTCGCATGCCTTTCTTATTATTTCATTTTATATTAATATTCTAATGTCCCACCCACTTTTACACCACAGATTTATTTCACCAACCATTTCAGCACAAAATTTATTACGCACCAAACTCGCTTGCGATATGTAAAAAAAAAATAGTCTTATTTAGTGCAGTTATCGGGAATTTTACATACAACAAAAATATCAGTATGCAATGGCCATAGAACAAACAACACAACTATAACTATCACTATAGTACGTACAACAAAACTAAAGGATGTCAGTGCGATAGTACATACAACTAATCTATCAGGATGCAATGGCAATAGTACATACTATAAACTATAGCTTTCCCTGGCCATAGTATATACAACAAATCGATCAAAATGCAACACCAAATGACGTACAACAAATCTATCAGGATAACATGGCCATTGTAAATATAACAAAACTATAGGATGCCATGGCCATAGGATATACAACAAATTTATCAGGATGCCATGGCCATAGTACATACAAAAAAACTATCAGTAAGACATGGCCATAGTACATCAGCAAAACTATCAGAATACCATGGCCAAAGTATATACAAAAAAATTATCGTGATGTCATGGCCAATAGTAATACAAAAAATATATCAGGATGCCATATCCATAGTACATTCAACAAAACTATAGCTTGCCGTGGCCATAGTACATACAACAAAACAATCAGGATGCCATGACCATAGTACATTAGCAAAACTATCGGGTTCCCATGGCCATAGTACATACAACAAAAATATCTGGATGCCATGGTCATAGTACGTACAAAAAAATCTATCAGGATGCCATGGCCATAGTACATACAACAAAACAATCTGGATGCTATGGTCATAGTACGTACAGCAAAACTATCAGGATGCCATGGTCAGAGTACATACAACAAATCTATCAGGATGCCATGGCCATAGTACATACAACAAAACAATCTGGATGCTATGGTCATAGTACATACAACAAATCTATCAGGATGCCATGGTCAGAGTACATACAACAAATCTATCAGGATGCCATGGCCATAGTACATACAAGAAAACTATCAGGATGCCATGGCCGTAGTACATACAAGAAAACTATCAGGATGCCATGGCCATAATACGTACAGCAAAACTATTAGGATGCCATGGCCATAGTACATGGATTCGGAAAGCCTGATTTATTTTTCCTGTTTACATGCAATCCTCTCCCTACTCAACATGTTTTATATTAAAAGTATTGAGTGAAACACAAAAGCTGTCAACCAGTGAGCGTCATGCGTCACGGATGATACCAGGTTAAAAAGGTTGAATAAGAAGGTATCTATTATATTAGTCAATAAAGAGCCACGGGTACGGTGTAGGACTGTCTCTAGGACTGTCTGTGTGACAATTTTTTTTAAGGCTGGCGGGTAGAGAGTAGAATTGTCTATAGGACTATTGTTTCAAAATCAGCAGGAAGTGTGTAATAGGCCTATAGTGTAAAGACCGTCATATATTATAGATAATGACAAGTTAACTCTTTTATATTACACTTTAACCCACTGGGTATTTTCTCTAAATACCCGGTTCCGGTGTAAAATAAAGCACTGGCTTACGCTCTTTTTTTTATACTCTGCCGTGTGCTGCGGCGGGCATCAACTAGTAATTATTACTCTTTTAAGACCCTAGAAACCCTTCCATTTGTTTAAAAAAATAATTTTCCTTTTCGAGAAACACAATTGTAAGGCAGTAAAAAAAAAAAGCGTCAAGAAAAATAATTGAGATTATTTGGTTGCGGTTAATTCTTTGAGGTTTACATGGGGTTTAATGCTCAAAGCATGGAATGCATATTTTGTGAAGGTGGAGTTGTAGTCTGTAGGAAGATGAAAGGGAAAACAATTTTTTATTGTCACTAATGTTTTGAAAACCAATCCATTACTTTATTCGATATTATTCCTAGAGAGGTAAGAAATATGCCATTTACCATTTCATGAACCCTCCTTTCCTGACGTAAGACTTGCTGACGGCCTGTGGGTCTGGGTCATAAAATGCATCGTTGTGCCAGCGCTCCTTGGGGATGTCAACGACATGATTCTCGCCACGTTCGAGAACTCCCCACAGCTCCTCTAGATTATCTGCCCCTGGGCCCTTGAACCCGACCCCGATAACGGCTATGGCCTCACTGCTTAAGTCTGCCATACCCGCTTATGCAGGCAGTTACTTTTGGACGTATGCAAAAAAAAAAAAGAGGATTAAATCATTTGATAAACTATTTATATTTAACCGTGCTTAAATCGGAGTCTTTTTAATTTAAAACTATGATACGCTCATAAAGAAATAGAAATATATAAATGTACCATTTATTGTTATATTTTAAAGTATGTATCCTTTCAACTATGATTATTAAAAGAATCAAAAATTTATTTAAAAAAAAAAGTTTAAAAAAAAAAAAAAAATTAAAGTATGTAAAGTTTCTCAATTAAAAGACGCGACTCCTACTTTTTTTCCACGTCCTCTGGACACAAGTCCATCAATCATTTACGTAGCTTTATTTAAGCTTAAGACTTGAATACAAGTATAGCTGACCTGCCCCGAAACGGTTTGTTCAAGCAATCGCCATCGAATCATCTAAACGTGGGCAACTGACGTATCTTTTATACCTATCAAAATCTTTCCTCGGAAAGTCGCCTTTTCTATTTTCCGAGAAACCGGCAGTCACCGTGGAGACATGTCCCCGAATGAACCCAGCAGACAAGCTCCAACATGGCTCCAGAGTTACCGCAGCGTGATATTCCAGGCTGGGTCAGTTAACCCGGGGCTTCATTTGCGACGTCACCCACGATGTTCGCTCTGAACGATCAAAATAGACATTTTTTAAACCCTTACTCCAACTTGTTTCGCTAAGGATTGGCACAAACAGTACAGTTTGGGCACTTACGTTTGCTTGACTTGAGATTTTCATAGAAATGGTATCGACATTTTAAATTTATAGTTTTTTGGTAATATTTTAAAAATGTATGTATTACCATATATTTCATTCACAGTGTACTGGAAATGAATTTACATACACATTTGCTTTTTGTAGCGTTTAGCATTGGTAGACAATGCTGCTAGTTTTGTTTTGTAATATTTTATTATGTCTGTAAAAAATACAGTAAAACTTGTGAATAGCGACACTTGAAATAGCCTTGTCCTGGTAAATGCGCTAACCCCCCAGCGGTACGGGCTGATTTCTTTTTTCTTTTTTTAAAATTTAATTGAAATAGCGCAAATCCTTTCAAACGCATAATGCGCATAGATTTCTGTGAGACAAAATTGTGTTTTCACCTGCGAATTGCACACGTGATGCCAAGCTTACAAGTGATGACCCAATTACGTCATAAACAGGGTGTAACCCAGACCTTATGCCGCGGGTGATATTACTGCTACTACGTTTATCTGAAGATTCTCTACGAGACTGGGGGATGTGAATGAACTGTGGTTATCGCCCGTAAATTTAGGGCACACATCGAGAAAACAAGACCTACACAATGGTTTCGATTTTAGTTTGGATTTGTATAAATAATATGCCAAACACGGAACATGTTCTTG